CCTATATCAGCAGGAAGCCATCACTGTCTCCGTCCAATTATTTTGGAGGAACATATTCCATTTCTCCCAACCACGATTTTATTCCTGAGGGATCTCTAATTAGTTGCTGTATTTTTCCACATTGCTGTCCACAGGAGACGAGTTAAGCCTTGAAACAGGGTAACAGAGGAGGCAGAACATTAAACCTTAACAGGCTTCCAGACAAATCTTAAAGGCAGTGGGGAGCCACCTGACTGGCTGTGCTGAAAAACACCAAGACGTATGGTGTCACTATAGATCTCTGCAGGATGTATGAGCACTCAGAGACAGAGGAGGTGGATGGATGCCTTCAGTTTATCATGACAACTGAATGACATATCAGATATATAAGTCAGATGCCAAAAAGAATACCCGAAGGAGGGGGGGGAGTGCGGATGGGGGAGTGGGGGGCAGGGGGGGGGGTCCAACAAAATGATTGTCAGTTTCTCTGGTGACTGAAGAAAAATAGAAAAATAGTTTGTTTTTTTTCTACGTGTTTGCCTTCAGACTTTCTGTGGACACTGTTGCTGGTGAGCTGTGAATGAGGTGTGAATATGAAGTACCTCCATCCTCGTTGCTCCATTACCTGCTCTCTGTGCTTCTCATTACAGCCTCTTTCCCCCGGGAGTTCAGGACTCACATGCACTCTGACTGCAGGGCTATTGAGTTGGATTACATTATGCTACAGTCAGGTGCTCCTGTTATTGTTCTCCCTGAGTGTATATACACGTAAAGAGCACTTTAAATTACTTAAACAATAGAAAAGCAATGGGCAGAGTCTTATTCTGCTTTTGTGGAAACAATAAAGAATAAAAAAAAGGAAATAATTATTAGAAAACAAAATGATTCAAATTAGTTCTACCTCGACCAAATATAACAGAAGGGTTATAACTTCTTTTCTGCACAATGAATACTTTTACTTTGATAGACTACATTAAGTACATTTGCAAAACTGTTCAATAATCTCATAAGGGTGTAATGTTTGGGTGTCCATATACTTTTGGCGACATATCTTATTAAGCTAGAAAAACGTACAGTATGCAGTGCACACACAGATGCGATGGAGCTTGGAAGCATTACTCACCATGCCCGCAGAAAGAGCACACGTTGTACAGGAAGACGTCAGGAAACATACATTTTTAATTCAAGTCCTGAATGGAAAAAAAATAAAAGTTTAATGCTCTACTGCAAATCCTAGAAAGGTAATATTCATCATCATGATTCCACCTCCCTGCTGCAAGGAATCATATATAGATGATGTTCACTGTGAGTGCCTGTCACAGCGTATTGCCTTCCACAACGTACTGCACGCAAACAACTCTTTGAAAATGACAGCTCTGACCAAAACTTTAGACATCTACAAAGCTGGGCCGGGAGGAAAACAAATTATGACACTTGTGAAGTCGTCATTCTATCAAAATGAAAGTGTCAGAATTAAGCTGAATGACGACGCCCTTTTTGTCGGGCTGTATGCAGTCGGAGGTCATCTGCTCCTTATGTTTCTCTTGGCTGCTCTCTCCTGCAGGCGGTACAATCCTTATAGTCGCCTGCAGATGGTTAAAGTTGTGGCGAACCAATTTCCTCCAGTGTAAAGCTTTGCTCCGAGGTAAATTGGAAATTAGCTGCAAGTCATTGGCAGTGGGGGAAACTGCTCTTATATGTGCATTGAAGTTTAAATTGGAAAAAAAGTGACTGCCCTAATTGATAAACCATTATGATGAGCTCATTTTTGAAATCATTTTAAATAAGGCTCGTATAGATCCTCTGTTGAATGCAATTTCAATATAAGGTTGGTTTGACTGTTTTACATGCAGAGAAAGGGTTAGCTCAGAGAGCAGATGTAAAACACAGCAGAGTGACAGCATCAAAAACTGTGCAGTAACACTTTACTTTAACTCCTCTATTTTGCATTTATAAGTAAAAACACTTCATAAAAGATAACATCAACATCATGAGTAGATAACACAGTGTAATGTACCTATAAGCAGATATAAGGACACTTCAGGTGTTTATTAATGTATTTGTCAATAATTACAGTTTACAGATTTAACTAATGAGATATAATGGGTTGATAATCGGGTTTAGATGTGCTGGTTGGTGCTGGAAGGCTTTTAACGTTCGAAAAGAGCCACAGGCTAGCTGTTTCCTCCTGTTTCCAGTCTTTATGCTAAGCTAAGCTAGCCATCTCCTGCCTGTAGCTTCATATTTGTATCACACAGGCAGGTGTGAGAGTGGTATAAGGATATAAGAATAAATGTATTTCCCAAACTGCTTACACATGAGCACAATTCATTCAAAAGCCACTTGATAAATGTGTCCAAACCTCATGAAGATATTTTGACCTCAGATACGCCAATAGCAGTTTGCCAAAAAAAAAAAAAAAAATTCACTCAAGGTCCATTTATGATGGGATTTACCTGAGGACACTTCCAGGAGTCCTCACTCTCCAAAGCTCATGTTGTGCCCTGTTGAGCCCTGCAGCGTTCTGCAGGCCTTTGCTGTGTCACCCTCTCACTCCGATATGCAACAGTCCAACACGGCCAACCGAGCTGTGGAGCTTTGCAACAAAGGCATTTAATCAACCAGATAAAAAAGAAGACGAGTCATTATAGTGGAAACCTCTGTGGCTCTGAGATAAACTCAAGAGAAAGCCTCTCAAGTCGCAGCTCTACTTTAAATTACAGAGTGAAAAAGAGTGAAATACAATGACTTTTGAGCCTCAACTCATTAAAAGATTTTTACTCACTGCCATAGTAGGAATAATGGCTTGTAAAGAATCAAGCTCCAGACTGGGAAAGCGGGAACCATAATGACCAGAGTGAATGTAACTGCACATTTTGTGCGTTCCACTCTGCTGGGAACTGCCTCAGCAGACAGCTGGATGGGTGATTTACTGAATGTGTTTTTGAAAGCTGGATTTTTTTCTGTACAGGGCTGCAAACTCTGAAACTGAAACCATATCGAATTTAGAAATGATACACCTACACTAAAGGTGGATTTGCTGACAGTTTATAGGTGCTTAAACCCATGAGAAAAGATTGAAAGATTCACACGTGTGCTTATATGTTGCGGCTATAGATCACAGTAACTGTTACCCCACCAGAGAGCAGGGTCCATTAAAAAGGCAATTCCTCTCAAAGATTACTACAGCTACAAGACGTGTGATATATTATGAGGCTCGGACCTAGAGACTTCTCTATACTAAATTTGTTTTATAGCTGTTTCACACATACATAGTGAAAGGGGATGGATATTCCTCCTCTAGTGCAATCACCATTTAGCATATTTCCGATGTCATATTTGCAGCTTCAGCTGCACCGCATAATTTCATTCCACAATATGTGCAGTGCACTGACACTGAGCAAGAATAAGAAAATGTATTCAGTTTGATTAGCTTTCCACCACTGCGTGTGTTTGGGAGATAGTATATACGTGACTGTGCTGCACTGAGATATATAAGTTCTGTTTTGGTGCGATTATCCAGCACTAGAATATTTAAGGACACGTTCATGAAAGGCCAGCTGCCTCCTAACTGCAAACAAACAGCATCTAAAATAAATTCAAGCCTTTTAGTTGGTGTTCAGGTTTACTGCCATCCTCGCTGCACGTAGAGGGGACTGCACTGACACTGTTGAAAACACTCACACTGTTGATCAAATACACACAGATTGCACATGACTGGTTACGTAAGGCTGAGTCTGATATTTTGGACTCAATATATTCAACATTTGGCCGTTTCTGGCAGTAAACAAAGTCGTGCATTCAAAATCCAACTTAAGAACAGAAAAAAAATTAAAAATGTAAGTACTGGTTCTGCAGAAAAGAGGTCTATGTGACTGATTGTCATGACTAGTTCACAGCAGTAGCACTTTTCTGTTGTAGCATCTCAAGGTGGAGCTAGTTTTATCTCAGCTACTTTATTTACACTTGGGTTTTGTTCGGTTGTTCTCAGGGGTCGAGCTCCTCCGGAGGCTCACAGGATAAATCTGAGGGGCTGTGAGATGTGTAATGGAGCAGGGAAAAAATATATAACTGGAACATTAAAATAATAATGTAACAAATTATAATAATCAGAAATATTTGGGGAAAACTTTTTAATCAAGTTTCAGCTCTCCTAACTGACTCCACTCTTTTTTTCTATTATTATTATTATACATCTATTTTTTTTTTTTTTTTTTGGGGGGGGGGGTCCTAGGCCGATAGCATTTTTATATGGTTCACCGCTGCCCTCTGGTGGACGCAGGTGGTACTGTGGCTCCTGTGCGCTTCAGGAAATAAGGTGAAGGTGCAGATGCGGAGATTGGCGTCTCCAGATGTTTGATTGAATTATTCAGAGCTTCTGCGCATCAACGTTTAGAGGGAATGCATCATTTCATGTATTTACCTTGTAATATTGACAAAATTCCTATATTCAGTTTTATGAATGACTCGCGATGGGGTTCGAGGGGGACAAAAATATATATAATATAATATATTTCCTCATAATTTGCCTCAGTAGAAACGATCCAAACACCGTAAAGTCTGTTGAAACACACAACAGCAGCAGCTTCTCTCCAAACAGATCAATAATCAATTACCATAATCTCAGTATTATCTGTGCCATGCACTCGCCTGCCATCCTCAGTCTGTCTGTCTAAGGAGCTGCGTGTTACAGCGCAGCGCACATTGTGTTCCGGCCGCTAATGCATGGGCGCAGAAAAATCTTTTCACACTTGCAGGAAACGCATGCGCGGAGAGGAAACCAACTGGTTTGTGTCAAGTCGAGGCAGACGGATGTGATCGAGCCAAAAAAAAAAAAAAAAAAAAAAAATCACCTGTATTCTGGCATTCATGGTGACACAGTGAGTACGCCTTTATATCTGATTATTTACTGAACGGCGCAGGCCTCTTGAAATCATCATAAAACCTGGTGTTTGCGCATCTTTTTCTCTTTTGTTTTTTTCGGGGTTTTTTTTTTTGGAGAATGAGGCGGATAATTTCAGGATCCAGTGAAACCGGAGCATCTTTATCTGGATATTCCAGCCACCAGAAACATTAGGATTCACACTGGACAGTTCGCGTTGCATATTGTGAGATGGTTGATCAAACCAGTGTAGCCTGAACATTTGCAGATCTGCTCGGGTTTTTTTTTTTTGTTGTTTTTTTTATTTTTTTGTGACAGAATAAAAATCATCTGACTGCATTGTAAATTATCAGCTTTCCCGATCGCATAATGTCATTATGTTTCTATAAATGGCTGCACGCTGCTTGCTTTAGGGTAATTGCATTTCTTGAATCGACCATCATGTGTGTGCGCGCGCGTGTGTGTGCATGTGTGTGTATGTGTGTGGAGGATGCGACTGATGGATGCGATTGCTGCGGTCCAAGAGTAACGCCTTGTCGCTATCATTGCTGCTCATCCCTCATAGACAGAGAAAGGAGGAGGAGGAGGAGGAGGAGGAGGAGGAGGGTTGTTGCTCATCACAGTTTGGTTTTGTTACATTCAGCGTGATCCAACAAACCGGTAGGACATTTGCCATTGGTTTTCTGAGCCGCTTGCATTGAGATTTCAGAACCTTAAACGCACGACACTTTGTTTCTTGATAAAAAAAAAAAGAAAAAGAAAAGAAAGAAAAAGAAAAAGAAAAAGCAAAAAACAGAAAGAAGAAATGTCGTGTGTTGAGGCTGCATTGCACAGAAGTTGACCCCCACGCGTCATGGTCGTACATTCCGCAAGATCTCGCTTCAGATAGTGTTTCAGTTTTTTTTTTTTTTCAAGCCAATAGTCAGTAGAAATTTGCAGGATTTCAGGAAGAGACTGATGAAGGTTTTATTGCTGAATTCAGGTTGAATTCTTTTCTTTTTTTTCCTCGGGAAGATGCAGGCCTCCTGTCAGATCTTCAAGCTCGTGATTTCTCGGACTATGATATGTGTGTGTGTGTGTGTGTGTGTGTGTGTGTGTGTGTGAGATGCTCCAGCTTAATGCGGTAATAATCTTCCGAGTGGAACCTCCTTCCTCCCCAGCACGGCTCTTTCTCTCTCTCTCTCTCTCTCTCTCTCTCTCACCGTGGTCTCCCCGTCTTTCTCTTCCTTGCAGTCCATGGGCTCAGAGCGGGTGGAGATGCGTAAGAGACAGATGCAGGTTCATCAGGAAGCAGCTGCCAGTGTCCTCCAAGCGCGCCACAGAATGGGAAACACCCCCACCACCAACGCCTCAAACGCCTGCTGCTTCTGCTGGTGCTGCTGCTGTAGCTGCTCCTGGTAATCACACTCCACTGCTTCCCACACAGGCAGGGCTGGAGATGGGAGAGATGTGGTCCAAGGCACAGGGGGGGGTGGTGGGTGGTGGGTGGGGGACTAAGGGCCCATTAACTGTGTGTTCTGTGTATAGCCTAGTAAATATATGTCTTCCTCCACACAGTGATTTACTGAGTGATTAATGGACACATTCTAGGTTGATATGATGCTTTTCGGCGATGCTAATTCGCAGTCACCCTCCCATCCACCGCCGTGTCTGTCAATTGCTGCCAACACTAAACTTAGAGAGTAAGTATTACCCTGCTCACAACATCTCCAGGAAGTATGAATACCGCAGTTGCTGTATCTGTTTCCTATAGGGAGGGGTGTAAGTCCAGAGTAGAACTGAAACAAGTAGGTGATTAATCGACTAGTCGCTGTACAGGACATTGTAAATTAAATATCTTTTCTCATTGTAAATTAACTATCTTTGGCTTTTATTTTGCTGACATTTTATGAATCCACAGTCCACACACTTTATATTGTAGTGTTCAATGTTACATCATTGGAGATTTTTCTATTTAATGCAGCATGAATTATAAAATAGGCCTACAATATAAAATATAAGAGCGATGCACCATTCTGACTCTACCTAGAATATGACTAGATTGGAAATGTAACCACAAACACGCAGGTTTTGAAATCTCTAACATGACGGATATCAGGTTTTTCATCATACGCTTAATTCTATAAAACACATTATGCATAATAATGTCAGTTGTGCTAGTGTGAAATCTATTTTGTCATGTTTATATAATATAAAAATTTTAAACTTTAACTCGTCTTTCCTAAAAAAAAATACACAGAAAGCTGTTGCACACATTTTTTGTTTTTTGCATCCATTTCCTTTCACGCCTGCTAAACTATTTTGCTTGTACATTTCAATGGTTTTTAAAAGGAGCGCTCTGTTGTTGTTTTCTACTGTATTAATCAGTTTATCACATATGAAAAATTCCACCACAGTTGAAGTGCGCAGAACAACACACCAGGTGTTTGAAAATGCCAGGAACCCTTCAGCAGTAATTTGGTTATGGATATTTGGTTATCTATGTGACACAGATATGTAACCTGTCTCTCTGTAAAGCGCTTTATAAAGCCGACGGAAAATCACACATAAATTACTTGGAACTTTTTAAAGTCGCCTGTAAAATATGAACATGTCCCTCTTCTTGGTCTTATTCGGTAGCTCAAAAAGAGGATGCAACTTTTGGCTCCATCCTTTCAGCCATTCAACACCGCTGCAGCCACCGCACCGTGATCCCACAAAAACAGATTCACATTGGTCCCGTGACCCACGTTGGATCTCATTGGATGGAGGCCACGGGGGGTTTTAATCTGTTTTGGAATTATCAACAGTTTACTTGAGCTTTCCTCTGAGCACAGCCAACCTGCCGTGTGCAGAACATGGCCGTGTTAATTCACTCCACTGGGGATGAGTAATAGGTTTTGTCTCTACATCTATATCAATTCCATCTAATTGTTGCACAGCTACAACAGCCACATTCCCAGATGGGATGGCTCACAGTGGACTCTCACCTGAACCAATTAGTCTACAGCCAGCTGCTAGATCAGGTGTTGGGAACATTTTAATTACGCACTGTGAGTCCCACAGGATGAGGTGGACATTTGACACACTTTACTAAATACGCAAACGTTCCCACTGGATCGTGTTGGATCTACTGAAGGTGTTCTGTCGATTTGAAACGTGGAACAAACAACATTTAGAATACGCAGGGCCTCTGCTATGCCGTAATATAGAAAAATCAATGCATGTGATAGGTTTTTAGATTGTTATTGATGCTACGTAACACAAGGAATAAACTTAAAAGGACATCTTTAAATACATTTTGTAAGAATGTTAGAATATGGTACATGTCCAAAAGTATGTGGACAACCCTGTCTGCATGCTGCTTTGATGGTCTGAGCAAAGCTGCTCCAGTTAAAGGGAAACTTTAAGTGACAGCTTAAAAATGAGGCGTTATCTAGTGGATTTATGGTCTTAATGTGGACATATGTTATGAGTAGTTTAACCAAAGATGAGTTTTCCCTTTTTTTTTTTTTTTTAGAAAAGTTCTGAAAAAATAAACATCTATTTGTGTAACATAAATACATATTTAGCTTTTTTTTTTTATCTCAATCTATTATATATTTATTTCTATCTATTTATCTATTATTTTAGTGACAAAAATAGAAAATATTCTAGAGCTATTTAAAATGACCTGTTACATTGTGCTGGTGGGAAAATCAGACCTGGTTGACAAATGACTTTAAAATAGCCACATGATCAAAGCAAAGCAGCTCTCATTGTGTTTTTCTCTTCCAGTTTGACTGTTAGGAGTGAGGACGAGACAATTCAGAGATCCACTTTTGAACACAGGACAGAGGGAATAACTAACTGTGAAGAAAGGTAAAACGGATAAACACTGTAAATCCTCAACGGAGCTTTTCAACAAAACCCCAGATTTCATAATGTGCAGTGTGGAGTCATCAGGAGAATCAAATAACAATCAACCTTTGTCTTTAAGCCCGAAGCCTACTCTGGAAGACGCCCGCTCCTGGACGATGTCGTTTGAGAAGGTGATGAAAAGCGCGGCGGGTCGCGGCTGCTTCAGGCAGTTCCTGCGGACAGAGTTCAGTGAGGAAAACATGATGTTCTGGCTCGCCTGCGAGGAACTCAAAAAGGAGACCAACAAGACTGTGGTGGAGGAGAAAGTCCGTCAAATATACGAGGACTTCATCTCAATCCTTTCCCCTAAAGAGGTGAGTCACTAAGGCAGGTCGTAAAGAGGGCTGCATGAGGTTATAGTTGCTATGATTATAGTGCTGATGGTTAATTAGTCAATCGTCAGAAAATTAAACATCAACTTAAGTATTAAACTATAATCGATGAATCGTTAGGATTATTTATCAAGGAAAAAAGCCAAATCTCCCCTGGTGTCACTCTCTTGAAGACTTTCTGCTCTTCTGTGTCATATTACTGTATATTGAATATGAATATTAAATATTTGGACTATTAGTTAGACAGATTAAGCAATTATAAAGATTTAACTCAAGTTTTGGGATAATGTGATGGCCATTCTCACATTGTCTGACAACAGACTAAACCATTTTTATAGTCAGCAGATTAATGGATCATGAAACTGGTCATTTATGGCTGCGACTAATGATTATTTTAATGGTCAATTTATCTGAAGATTATTTCCTCGATTAATCACTTTTTCTTTTTGTAAAGAACAAAAATTCCAATTATAATTTCCCAGAACACACTGAGACGTACAAAGTATGAAGCTAGAGACAGTTGGTTAGCTTAGCCTAGCATTAAGACTGTAAACAGGGGAGACGTCTTTAGTTTGTTACAAGAGAAAACATGTTCACTGGCGAGTCTTTGAGGTGCTGTTAGGATATTTTTAAACTTCCTACAGCCGGCTAACAGTCTCTTTTAACACAGACGTGAGAGTGGTGTCAAACTTATTATCAAATTCAAGGCAAGAAAATGAGAACGCATATTTCCAAAAATGTCAAACTATTTCTTCAGCTGTCACACAAAATGACAACAGGAGCAAATCCTCACAAACAGCAGTAAGCATTTAGCATTGTTGCTGACAGTTACAGACAGACCACACATTGAGGTCTGTTTTTCTTTTCCACAGAATCACATATATTGTTGTTGGTGTATGATGTTAATACTTGTAGGTGTTTTTCCCAACAACACAACAAAAAAAACTGCTCTAAACTAGTTTTTATGCATCTTTTTGGAGTGAAATAGTTCAGCTAAAGTCTGTGGCCACTGAACCACAATGAAACAGCCAAGACTTTGAGGTATAATGTGTTCGGGGCTACAGTGGAAAGAGGTCATCTGCTTCATATGATAAGTCAGTGGCAACAGAACCTTTAAGAGTCTTTTAAATTAAGTATTTGCATTTTCTGTCAATCAGCTAACTGATCAATTAACTCGTCATTTTGGGTCTATACGATGCGTTTAATTGACCACCACTCCTTTGTCTCATCTTCTCCAGGTCAGTCTGGATTCTCGCGTTCGGGACGTGATAAACCGCAACATGCTGGAGCCGACCTCGCACACATTCGACGACGCTCAGCAGCAGATCTACACGCTGATGCAGAGAGACTCGTACCCCCGCTTCATAAACTCAACCGCGTACACAGATCTGCTGAAGAGCCTGGAGGAGCCTCCCCCTGAGCCATAGACTCTCCACTGCCACACACTTAGCTTTTCAAAATGGCGCATGCGTCCCACCCGAAGGAGTTTTGTGTTCCTCTTGGAGTCCTGCTATTTAGAGAGACAGACAGGAAAATGAACACTACTTAAAACCGGTCTTTATCCAGCTGTAACTGCTGTTTATTTACCCATGATTAGCTTACCAAAATCCTTGGAGCAAGCAAGAACAAATGCTAGGTCCAGCATCAGTTACTTGTTCGAAAAACATATCTATATTTTTATATATTCCCTAACGCTTGACATTGCACTTTTCTACCTTGTTTAATGAGGGAAAGCATGTATCTGTGAGCACTGCATCTGTATTTAGGTATATTGTGAGCCTTAATGCATATCCAGTTCTTGTAGAAACTAGTAGTTATTTAGCGGTAACTTAAGAAGAAGGAAAGTGCCTTGGAATAAGATCTTCTACACTAGCACCTTTGGTCTAACATGAATGGTGCGACAATGACTTCATATGTTGGTGCTTTCAGCTCTTCTCAAAGATAAACGTTTTTACATCTCAATGAGCTGATACCCGGAAATAGATCTTGTCTGTGTTTCAATACTGTGATATTAGTCATACAATATTTAATTTAAACTAAACAGGGAAAAATAAACTGAATACATGACCATGACCACTGATATATTTGTGTATTTAAAAAGGAATTTGTGTGAAATAGCTGAATTCTCACAGATTAAATAAAGCACAATCGTATGTTGTTTTTGCTGTGGTGTGTCATGAACATTAACAAAATACTCTTATTCTTTCTTAAGGTAAAACACATTATTTGACAGGTTTCCTACATGGATTGCATATTAAGCTGCCTTAACATTATACCTTTATTGTCATCTCTGCATATGTGCTCTGTTTTCAAGTCATTTATGTTGATTAGCTAATGTAATATTCTACAAATAAGATGGTTATTTGTTTTGATTTGTTGTTTTGTGATGTCAAAAACACTGAAAAATACCCACCACATGTTACAAAAAGCTGAAGTTAATGTCTAAGTTGGTAGTTTGGCTCAACGACAAATCCTAGACTCCAAAAGTATTCAATTTACAATAATTTAAAACATAGAAAATCAGGAAATCCTTATATCTAAGACCCTACAAGCGACAAATGTTTGGTGTTTTTTCCTTGATAAATGCCTTCATTAACTGTGCTGATTAATTGACTAATAAACTAATTTCAGTACTACTACAAATAGACATTAATTAAAAACATTTAACAACAGGCCATTTATTGTAAGAGTAAGTATTAAAACATAAAGTATAGCCCTATTTATTACCTCCGCCAAGGAGGTTGTGTTTTGACCTGTGTGTGTTTGTTCTGTTGTTTGTTTGTCAGCAGGATTAGGCAGAAACCACTGAAACGATTTGCACCACGCTTGGTGGAGGGATGAGGCATGGACCAGGAACCAAGAACCCGTTAAATATCGTTGCTGTTCCGGTTCAACGGGCGTATCCAGGAATTTTCTTTTTTTTTGGATCACTTTCTTAAACATTTCAAGATGTTTTGAGATTTTTGGCAATTTCTCAGTAAATGTTTTGATTTTGAGTTTGTACAATTTGGTGCAGATCTGGATAATAATCTGGATCTGAAGATAATACTGAATCTGCATTCTGCTCTCAGATTACTTCCTTTTACCTTTTATTTTTCTATTACAAGAGCTAGACAGGCGTGTAGGGTTGTTTAGCCTTGGCGGAGGTATGCGCTCTACTGAGTGCCATTCTAGTTCCAATACATACGCTTCCTGCAGGTAATGGCTCATCTCAATGGCAAGTAGCTTTACAATCAAGCAACTACTGTTACTCTACTGTAACACTGAGGATCATGTGTGGCTCCAGGTCAGGATGCAGCATCGTTTCAGTCATGCCTCTCCTGGGCTAACGTGTAGCACCCCCAGTCCTGTCTGGCTCTATGAATAGCAGCGTGGTTTTATTGTCAAGTAAGTCAGTGGTTCCTCGGGTCCATGGAGTCAATACTGGAGTCAGTCCCTGAGGACTCTGATGGTGCTGTGTGGTTGTACATATAATCCAGAGTTCATTCATCACTGATGGGAGGAAGCTGTTTCTCTATGAACCGTTTCATATCCACCATTTCCTGCAGGGATACAAAAGACACCAAAAAAATAAATATATAAAAGTACATGACGCAACTAGAGATCCTGTGTCAAAATGTGACTTTTCCCCCACACTGACCTCTGGACAGCTGCTGTGAGGTAGACCTCGATATGACTTGAAGGTGACATTGGCAGGATTGATGAGACTTTTCATCTTCTCTGCTGTCTGGCTGCCAAACACAAAGGGGACCAGGGGGTCGGCATCCCCGTGGCATTGTAGGACATGCATGTCCTTGTTAACACTGTTGGCAGATGCCTGAGAATAGAAGAGATTAGGATTATTAATGTCATCTGATTATGACAGATTATGACTTGGTAATGGGATATCCCTAAACCTTAATACAATAAAGGGAATAATTCACTATAAAAAGAACAGAAGGCATTCTTTTCAGCAATTAAAGGATGATGAAAGATTTATTCCTTTAAGCTTCTGGTTTAATATTTATTAACACTAAAAAGCACCGGTGCAGATCAGCCAACATCCTTTGATATTTTTTTGTTATTTTTTTTTTTTACCTGAGGGAAAGATTTGCGGAGAGGAAGCCAGCAGCTCAGAGCGACCACTCCAGCAAGTTTCTGCTGAGTTGTCAGAGCCGTGTAGAGAGACAATGCTCCACCCTGGAAAAACAACCAACACAACACAACAAGTCTCTTAAGCCTATTATTAACAAAGACAAAAAGCATAAAAGATCAAAACAGCACAGAATGGAGGTAATTTCAGGTGCCTATTACATGAAAAAAGGTGCCCCAATTCTCTATTATTTTAATATGTGGAACTAATTTGAGGTTTGTCTATTTGCATATGTAATTAAATGCTCACATGTAGGTCACTTCAGAGCAGTGCTGCAGACCAACCACTGTGTGTGCTGCTGCAGAGCTGGAGCTGCACAAAGCATTACTAGCAACTGATTCGTTGACCTTGTGGTTGATACTGAAAAGAATAGCTCAGGGGGTTATGTGCCAAACTGTTTCTTGGCCAAGTACAGCAACTTCATGGAGTCTTTGCTGGTTGTCTAGCAACTGCTAAAAAGCAAGAAATGGTCCTGTATATAACCCACCGTGAAGTGGCAAATTGCCATTTTTACACTTAGATTTTTGCACGGCTTATATAAACAAGATACAACATGTTAATTAGTGAGTTTTGAGTGGGTTGATTTTGTTACCTTTGTACAGAGCCAGTCTTGTTGTTTCCCCCTCTTTCTACCTTAAACTAACCAGCTGCTGACTGTACTGTCATATTTAATGGACAGACATGAGAATGGTATCAATCTTCTCATTCAACTTTAAATCATCACACTCATAATTATTTATTAATGTACAACACTGTAATTCCTCCAAAATTTGAGTTTGTTCACTCCAAAGCAGGAATGCTTTAGTAAATCTGTGCTTCATAGCCTAAACTGTGCAAGTCCTGTTTTTCAAATGTATTTATAGTACATATATAGATTTTGCCCTTAAACAAATGCACTTATGTGTGTATCTTTTGATTATTTAAATACACTATGTACACAAGCAGTGACTCACAGTAAAAGCAGCGTTATGTAACGCATCATCTGTGTACATGCCACACTTACCTGTGAAAATCCACCCAGGATAATTCTATGCGAAGGTATTCCATTCTTCACTTCTTGTTCTATCAAGGCTTTAACTGTGAAGAAATCAAAGAAAAACATGGAGGCAAACTCTTTCTGTAACTGGAACAAAAAAAATGCTGCACATTCATAACATGAGTGCAAAGTTTCAATGCATTTTACAGACGTACTGTTCTCTGATGCTCTTTTAATACCACTCTCATCTTCATCTGCATCAGGGCTCAACCCATAGATATCAAACCTGTAAATGAGAAAACAAATGTATGGGTCAGTGTGTATGTGACAACCACACAACCTATCCAAATATGTTAAAATACTGTGACACTCACCAAGAAGGCATGGACATTCTCATGTTCAAAGAAACAGGCATGGTGGGACTGTAATCATTGGAGAAAAGTTACATCACAATTTGTCTCAACTGCACACAATATATGAATGTTGCTGTGACTGCAAAGACTATCAACAAGGTTTTCAAAGCCAATTAGCCAAGACTATGTAAGGCATTGAAATTAGGTACTTAAATAATTTTAAAGATTTTTCCAAGACTTGCAGACACACTGTGTAACTTTACGGCTAGTCTGAATACTTACGCATGAGGACAGATGTATTTCACATGTGGTATCCTGATGCCTGCGAAGGCTTCTGCCCAGCCATGCCTGTCAAATCAGAAAACATTACACAACTTTAAATAGTCAGTGATGGGAGAAGTACTTTAGTCGTTTATTTAAGTAAGGGTAGCAATAGCAAAATGTAGAAATGCTCAGTTGCAAGTTTTACTCGTGCATCTAAATATAATTAAAATGCCCAAAGTAAAAGTGCTCATGTAGAATGGCCCATTTCATAATAATATATATCATATTATTAGTTCAATGTTACTTCGCTAGTAGGGGCAGGGTTTATTTGAATTACTTTGTACGCTGCTGGGTAACTTGTGACTTGTTTTCCCCTGGAATCGAGTCTCAACTATCTATTTTAATCTATAATAAGAAGGCAGAATTTATTTGTTGATTATGTTTTGTATTATCAATCTGAACCTGCAAAGTAACTAGAAAGTACAGTTAACAAATACGCAACTGAATACAATATTTTTTACCTCTGTGTGACAGACACTAAATAATGTTTGTAACAGTGGTGGAAAAAGCTTCTTTCACATACCCAGTATCACCGAGGCCATGCAGAAATATAACCTACAAAAACAAAGACACCACAGGTACGGAATACGTATGAGAATTTCGCAGCTGTTTTGTATGACGCAAAGTAGTTATCATTGGAGGTAAAAGCTGCTTTTTAAACTAGCGACAAACAAGATGTAAATCCACTGTCCACTCACCGCTGCAGTGGCTTTCCGGGCAGCAGGCACAATGGCAGGTAAAGGCGCTGACATGTTATTGCCGCACATACAGCGCTGAGGCAGCTGATATGTAGGGAGAAGTTAGCTCCTGTTAGCTAATAACGATATCCCCCAACTGTCAGCCTGTGTCGATCTTACCTCCAACTCTGGCTGTCAAATACGACACAGCTGAAGGACAAGTGTCGACCGAAGATGGAGGTCAACGTCTACCCGCGTCGTGTTACCGATGGCAGTCGTGAATTCCTTTGTGGAAGTTGAATTTTGTGGAAAACAACACACCGCCGGATCACTCTAACTATTAGGACGTTACTCGCCAGCGGGACCTACACGCCTCGTAATGCCGACTTCCCCTACGTGATTGGCTGTCTTCAAAGGTCCGCTACAAATGCAAAGCAGTGATTGGTTTGTTAAAATGTCAATGAGCGCTGGTTTAGTAATGTTTAAATCCTCAACAATGACAGTGAGGTACACTTCGGCACCACAATACGATTATATAACATTGCAAGCAATAAATTACAAAAAAACAAATATCAAATATATGCTTTAACATGTCGCGCGACCTTTGACACATATACTTTGGATGTAAAATGCTTGTTTGCGTATTAAATAAGTAATTAGATTTGCGTTTTAACCTTTGTGACACTAATATTCACTGATAATAATCAAAAATCCGTGTATACCAACATTTGCTTCATACCAACAACAGTTTATCCAATGCATTTTAACTATCGTGCTTTTATTTTGAAACATGGACGAGCTGACAAGAAGTACTTCCGTTGACTTCTGTCACGTGACCCACATGTCCTTGGTTTGGCTAACTGACATGTGAACAGCAGAAACATGTCTTTTCCTAAAAAACCTGGTGGTAAAGCGTTAGATGTTTTGCAGAACCTACCACGGATAACCTTAGCGAACTTGCGGCCTGAACCAGGAGCCAAACAGCCGGTAAGATTTTAATTTTACATCTCTGTCATAGTTGTCTTTAGCAGCAGGCTCTTGCTAACATAGCACGGTTAGCCTGTTATCCAATGTAAGCCGGTGGATAGTGAAAACATCTTGCTCCATTTTCTTCAATCATAGGAAAGACGGCGGGGCAGAGGACAGCATGGTGGCAACAGAAGCGGTAGAGGCCACAAAGGAGAGCGACAAAGAGGCAACCGGCCTCGGCTCGGGTTTGAGGGAGGTCAGACCCCGTTTTATCTGGCTATTCCAAAATATGGCTTCAATGAAGGACACAGGTAAAAGCAGGTCACACTCTCCACCTTTACGTTAACCATTGTTTTTTTTTGGTAGATAAAATTGTATTCTTCAAACAAACAGATGATAATGCAATGTTTTCTTTAACATGGCAGCAGAAGTGCAAGTGCTACACATATTTATACACACGCGCATATATATATACTCTAAGATTTTCTTATGTAAAGCCTGTCATTAAGTTCTTAATGTAGACAACATTTCATGGCTCTGAGGTGAAGAGCATTGCATTTTAGTGAGTGTCAGCCTTCATTCTTTGTAACTGTCATGGTGCATCTGGTAGCAGCAACAGTACACTAAACCCTGCATATGTCGATGCATGTTGTTTATCAAGCAGTGGCAAAGTGTTATTTTCACCCCAAGCCCCCTTTTGCGAAACAAAATGGTGAGACAGAAGAACTAAAGATAAATTTTGATACCAGATTAACCGTGCTGTTTTTATTAATGCACGTTTTGTTATTTCCATTACTTCAGTTAACTGCTCATAAATAAACAAGCCAACATCAGGAAGCACAGTGTTGCAGTTTTTAAGTACTGCATTAACATTAATGCTGCAGTTGTGAACAGATTACAGGAAAAACTGGATGTATATGAAGGAAAACATGGTTTAGTTTGTGTTTCTTTTAATAAAGTTTGTTTAAGTCACTACTTTAATTTAAACATACATTTCTTCCCAGAAGGTTTTACAAACATGCTTCTACATTGGAAACCTTTAAATGAAGGAAAACAAGGTGCTATTTGAGTTTCTTTTAGGACTCTCTCAAGAGAGAGTGTGTGTTCATTTTGACTTTCTTTAGTGGTGAAAAGTTCATTTGGATCACTACTTTAAGTTACTCTGTCATTTCTTCCCAGAGGAAAGAAGTGTCAGTTTATGCTAAGATGAATCCACATTTTGCCTCTTCTAATGACAACATGTTCGTGTGCTCTTCTCCAGTCGCCGTCCTCAGTACCAGCCTCTGTCTTTGAAACGACTGCAGTACCTGATCGATTTGGGACGAGTCGACACAACCCAGCCCATAGACCTGACCCAGCTGGTCAATGCCAGAGGAGTCACAATCCAGCCTCTGAAGAGGGACTATGGAGTCCAGCTTGTTGATGAGGTAATCGCTCTATGCTTGATCATAGACTTATTTGTGTTGATCATGGACGTTTTCACAACTGTCATGGAAAGTAAAAAAAAACAAAAAAAAAACACAAAAGGTTAGAAGGTAAAGTGATTTAATGTAAGCTGGATAAAGAACTCTCTCACTACAAGGTGTAAAAAAAAAAAGTGTGTAATCCAGTTGCTGAATAGTACAACCAGGCATTCAGAGAAACATGTCACTCCTTGGCTCTTTGATCATCTTGTGCCAGCAGGTGGCACCACATGACAATGTTGTCCCTGAGACAGACACGGATCAAGATGTTGTCGCTGACCCCTGTTTTTTCACCCTGCTCAGCCACAAGCTCACCTTTCTTCTGTTTGCTCTGTTCCAGGGTGCCAATGTTTTTGCTGCAAAAATCAACATTGAAGTTCAGAGAGCTTCTGAAGGAGCCATAGCTGCTATTGAGAGGAACGGAGGCATCATCACGACCAGTTTCTATGACCCTATAAGTCTCGGTAATTAATGAATGATCAGTCTTGTGCACTCACTCATCTTGTAGCATTTTAATCTCATGCATTTAAAGTAAAATGCTTAAAGATGTATTTTAATTTTTTCAGGGATTCTCATCAAGCCGGTCCCGTTTTTCTTGCGTGGGCAGCCGATTCCAAAGCGAATGTTACCAGGGCAGGATATGGTCTCGTACTACACAGATGCTGAAAGCCGTGGTTACTTGGCAGACCCGGTGAAAATCCAGCAGGCCCGGCTAGCCCTGGCACAAAAGTACGGATACATTTTGCCAGACGTTTCAAAAGATGAACTGTATCACATGCTCTCCATGAGGAAGGATGTTCGACAGATCTTCTTTGGCCTTGCTCCAGGCTGGGTCGTTAACATGCCGGAGAAGAAGATACTGAAACCCACTGATGAGAAACTGCTTAAATATTACAGTTCATAGGTGTGAGGTGTAAAATAAATGTTATGTACATTATCTCATGGCAGAAATCACGAAAATACTGAGATTTGCATCTTGGAAAAACCTGTAAAAAAAAAAAAAAAAGTCTGGGTGAGGTTCTGATTTTATATTTAATAAAAATGTGGAAAAAGAGATTCTGTGTGTGAGAACGAAGCATCGTCATTAAACTCTGTCTTTAAAAACTGCATTTAGTTCAATATATTGGTGTTTGAAGGGATTACATTCTGGTGTTATAAATTCTATACGGTATATTTGCAATATGTTCACGAGTATTCCTTTTAGTTTTGAGGGGCTAACATCATCTGACAACCTCATGTCGAAGCATAACCGGCCCGTGCTGCATGATGGAAGGAACGTGAACTGTAACAGGTGAGGGGGAAATAAGGAAAATAAGATAACTCAAAGAATGAAAACAGGAAACAGATGCCTGGTGATGTGTATTACTTGTGAAAGGGGTTGCCTAGGCCCTAGAAGGGGAGTTTGAAATTAGTCATAGGCAGCTGTATCCTGGTGCGTGGATGTTCAAAAGACCCCCCCCCCCCTCTTGGAATACAATCACAGGCTAACACATACAACTACAACTTTGCAGTTATGCTTTAGCGACATTAAATGACACAGAAGAAATGTTCATGCTTAGATATCTAATTAGATTACTGTGATTTATTCTTAACGTGGTGTTTATTGCTGAATATTTATTAAATATTAGGTTTCTGTAATACAAAATCTTTACAAAAGATTTTTGCGATTTTACACCCAACACTTTATGGTAATTTACCCGCTGCCTCCATCAGAATATAGTGTCACAGGTTTCGGGTGGATAATGCTCCCCCTGTATTTGAACTCTCCATTATGCTTGTGTTTATTTTTTGAAGTCTAAATGGCACACTCGCTATAAATAACTTGGTATTTTACGCAGATATTGTCTTAAGGGACGCTGCCATAGAATTTGTGCTGGTATAAAAACATTTTATCAAAGGAAGCATATGTTTGTGTGTGTGTGTGTGCAACACCATCAGCATTGTGTTTCTATACAAAGTCCCCCCTTTGCCATGTTAGTTACTGGTAGACAGGTCTCAGTTATACAGGAATAAGAAGGAAAGTGACAAAAATAAGCAGTGCACTAAACTCTGTGCTAAATTTGATTGGTTTTTTTTTATAAGTCAGCTTTTGCATCCAATTAAAAAGCAGCATTTTCAAGATGAATTTCTTACAGCAGTTACAAATTTCATAATTTTGTTGCCATCTGAGTCAAAGGTTACACTTTGATGACTTTGCTTGTGGTTCCCTGAGTGTTTTCCTGAATCTCAAGTATCCAATAAACTACACAAGTAGGGGATACATACACAGCCGGCCCTGCCAGGAAAACCAGCCCAAATCCTTACAGCATAATACTTTAAATAAATCACGCCACAGGAAAGAAACAGCACAATCATTGTTTATGGCAGAACTACAGCGCTTATCTTCAAAGCAGCAGATCCTTTTGAATTTGTATCAGGTCTCAGACGAGCAAAAGAGAAAGAGTGAGCTGGAAGTTTGTAGAGAGGCACAAACATCAACTCTTTGAATGTGTGGCTGCAGAAAGCTGGCATAAAAGAAATTGAATCAGGTATCAGTTACTGTTGAGAAAACAGTCATTCACTTTGGCTAAAAAGATTTGTTAGTCTGTTTTAGGTACAGCCATTTAATCTCAGGTTTCTGCTCCAAATAATCTAATGTCTGAGTCTAACCAGTTCACACTATTTAATTAAACATTCAAGCATTGCTGCTGGAGTTGAGCAGGCCAGATTGTTTTGGTTATCTGCTGCCTTGAATGAGCCGTTTAAGACAGACACAGATATCATGGTGTCTCACAGGTCTCAGTCTAGTTCCAGTTAATAATTAGGGCTAATTACAGCTAAATGCAGGCCTCTTTCTCCTCTGTCTGCCGAGGAGAGACGTGTGGCAGAGGTCTGGATCAAGGTCAGACTTACACATACACTATAAAGGAACCTGAAGACAATTTGTATCCAAAAATATAGATGTGATAAAAGGCCTGCTGTGGCTATAAGCCTCTAACATCACCAACGCTAAGCTGCCTGGACAATAAAAGACTTGGAAGACTTATTCAGTTCCTCAGATAAGACTCTTATCAGCCAGTGTGGAATACAATTCCTAATTTACAAAGAATAGTGCTGTTCTTCAGCATGAGTGGAGCTTTGCCTCATTAGCCAGTCTCAGTCTGAGCAGGTCTGCATGATAGACAGCTGAAATAAAGTTAGAAGGTGATTACACTTCAGTGACAGAAAGAGGGGTCGAAGAAGTGATTTGCTCTTGTATTTAATTTCATTTTCTTTACTTGTGAGGACATGCACGTTCAGCAACTTTTCACTAAATCGTCAGTTTGCTAATTTTCATCTGCAGTCCTTTGGTAAGATGATTTAAAACCAGTGAAGTGACACTTTAAGAAATCATTTTTAAAAAAAGTTCAAAGAGCTATGAACTTGCACTCTATCTAAAATCCTTGAGAAAAATTAACTGTAAAAAGTCATTAAAACTTGTCCCCCTATTTCTTACACAAAACAATTTATCTTGTATGTTTTTTTTAATTATTTTGTAATTTCAATTTTGTATTTAATGTTTCTCAATTTTACTTTTTTATCCATTTTACATTTAATTATTTGATTTGATCTGACGTCTTTTCTCTGTTGTACTGTGATGAACTCACGTCGCCCTTTATGATGCAAATTTCACATTTTGTAGACAATCCATAAACTAAAAAAGATCAGCCGAAGAGTCAAAGGTCACGTTTTCAAATCGCTTGTTTTGTCTTGCTAACAGTCCAAGACACAGATACTCATGTTACAGTGATGTAAAACTGAGAGAAGCCTTAAATCCTCTCTGACATTTTTGCCTAATGAATGATTTAAATGATGAATTGAATATGAAAAATTGGTGGCAATTACTAATTAAGTGATGTAAGATGGATGAAACCAGTATAAAAAAGTGTAAACCCTCACTCCCCTACTGCCTCAGCTCATTTGGCTTCGCCCGTTCCCGTGCTTCACCCTGCACATCGTGCCACCTGGGCTTGTAAGTCTGAGTCTGAACTGTGTTTGAAGTCTGGCTGAGCCGGGCCTGTTATCTCTGCTCAGAGGTGGGGGGCATCATTGTGTTCGGCTAATGAGGCTACATTAAGCCTGTCTTCTCCAGGGGGCATGTAATCCTCTCAGCTGGCCTGTCGTAGGCCTGGGCAGGGCACTGTTTACACGGGGAGTGTGGAGGCTAGCACTCAGGACCTCGTGGGCCTCGGTCTACTGCTGAATCTGCTCAAACAAGTGATTAAGAAGTGTGTGTGTGGGGGGGGGTGTTACAGACCACGGCATAGAATGGTGTCTGAGTCTTGACAGAGTATATCTTGATTCTGGCCTGCTGTGCCCATACAATTCAACACAATGCAATACAGTCCCTCGCTGCGAAGATCATGGTCACCTGAGACAACAGTATTATATCCCCTTCACACCTTCCAGCTATGAAACAATGCAGCTCTATATGAATGAGCCACTGTAAGGAAAGTCTGTGGGATGGCACTAAAGGCAGGTCGGAATACAGTGCTTCATTATCAGAGGTCAAGACGCTGACCCTCTGCTTTACATTCATGTAGTTTTCTTCCATTTTATCTCCAGACAGGCATCTGAAAAGCCTTCAGCTCAGTGAATCCTGCACCAAACATCCAAAAACAACATCCATAATAACAGAGGAGAAGTCAAGTGTTCTGCAGCCTCGAGGGAATATGCATCATTTCGCTCACACAAAGCTCCATGTCACACCTAAAAAATGCGGACTCAGGTGAGCAAAACATCCTTTCCCATTAACATATTGTGTCAGACCATGGAGAAGCTGCTCCAAATCCAGCCAATGTTCAACCCAGACACCATCCAGAACAGCCAAGAATCCACAAGGGTCTGTGTAAATCCTGCTAGTTGTCCCTCTACAAGGAAGTAGTCCTGCAGGTCCTTGGTGCACAGCTCTACCTGTGCCAGCTCGACCATCAGTGATCCAAAGTGAAGACAGAGAGGAGTGTCCCATATATGAGTTCTGTCCAATACAATGGTACATTGTGATCACAAAGCCACAGAGAACAATCCCTATTCAGAAAGCATAGTGCCCATTCAGCTGCAGCACTCTTGCTTGTTTGGCTATGAGACAATGCAGTGATACCCTACTGTCAGCTCATAGATTAGGATTCATTAGCAGGGCCAGAATAAAGGACAAATAAAACGTTTTTTTAATATATATAACAGCAAAATATATTCTATAAGTAACACACAGAAGTAGGTTAAGACACAAAAATAAGTAAATAACCCCCCCCCCCCACACACACACACACACACAGTCTAATATTTAGCCGACTCAATGCACAGAGAAGCTCAGCCGAAACTAACATTATTGTATTCACGCTGCGTCCTTCAAGCTAATTGATTAAATCCATTAACGCCGTTCACAGCGCATTGGCGCGTGCGTCCCGTTTAACACCGAGGATGTGGATTCAACCTCTAATTCTGACAACCTGTGAAAAAAAAACCGACACATAGCTACACCCCCACCCCACCCCGTACCAATACACCCACCACCCAAATAACACACTATAAACATCCACGCTTTATTTCTAGACAAATATAGAAATTTATTTGATTGATTTCTAAGACACCTCTGACGTCATCTCTCCCTCAAAGCCACATGCCAGCTTATCATCCTCGACTGATTACAGTTGTCAGAGAGAGATGAGGACACAGTTTAAAGAATCTGCCCTTAATCACTACTGTTATTGAATTTGCAACAGTCTTGATCCGGCTTCTTGATTAACATATCAAGCTCCATTAGGCCTGATTTACTTATTTCTCAGGGTCAAAACAAAGTCCAACATGCTCCCCGACAGGAATATCCATGTAAGAGTGCATGAGTTCAGCTGTTGCTGATTTAAAGCTTTTAAAACTGAAACGTAGGCTGTAAGTTGTCTGCAAATTTAGCTGGTTTCCCTTTGTGTATTAACCCTTTTCTGCTCCAAAACCATCCGTATTAACAATTTAAAGAAGCTGCATTAGTGACTCGTCTGCCCGGACAAAGCAGTGCAGGTGCAGCTATTACTGAGGCCCAGTCAGTTCGTGTATTGCACATTTAACGTTGCCGCCGTCTGCATAATGGCATCTATTGTTTGAACGATGTTTGTCGTCGGTGCTGAAGACACCATGTTCCGTGAAACCATAGAGAGGCAAGCGAGCACCTGTGATGGCGTCCTGTTACATTCAAAGTGGGCTCACACGCCTGAAGAGTTTCAGGAGAGTTCATGTGTGGTGGATACACAAGATGTAAGCGCAATATTCATATGATGTAGTAGTTTAAGCGATTTATACTGTATCCTATAGGGACTTTATAGTGTTATCTATTTTTATCTGTTTGTCTTATGCTTTGTGTCACCATAATAAACCCATAATAAATATTATTAGTGCTACAGTAATTAGTTAATTATATTTTTGCTCTGCATTGCATTTATTTTAAATTTCCTGCAACTATAACATTCCTTTAATATGAGCAGTTCTGCCTAAAGTGTGTGTGTGTGTACTCAAGAGAGAGTTTTTTTACTTTTATTTCTTATCATATTCAGAGTTCAACTTTAAGATTTGTCTTCTGTGCTTTTATTCTTCAAACTGTCAGGAAATGTTCCTGGTATAGAGGCTGCACTTGAGGGTGAAAGACAGTTTCTGTGAGTCTGTATCTCTGCTGGAGTTTTGACTGATTTCAATACACTTTTGTCTCTTTGATTTAGCGCCAAGACCTGCTCTGGTGTTTCCCTTTGGGAGGTCACTCAGTCTATTTTGGTATTTCTCTCCCCTCCCTATCTTTTTAATGAAAAATGATATCTGCAACAAAGCAGATGAATGTATGTTTCTGCTCTGATGTCGTGAAGCTGAGCTCATCACGCCCACTTTGTGCACACCTATCAGTTTTTTGTTGTTTTTTTTTGTGTAGGGCAAATATTTGTGCGTGGTAATCGTGTAATAAACACGCCTTGATCATGTTTGTTTCAGTCGTGTAAGATGTACTTTGATAGAGACAGTGGATGGCCGATAAGAGCTGAGAGCCTCAATGTAATTAGTAACCAGCCCTACCTCCTGAAAACTTTGATGTTCACCTATCAATACCCTGCCTGCCTTTCAGGACCTATTGATTAGATTCCATTTCTCTCCGATAAACAAAGCTGTAATTTGATTTTCTTAATATGGTTTTAGTGAGAGAATGAAGGAAAATGCTTCTTAGACTTTTTTCCTCTCATTAAAAGTGAACGTGTCAGGAAGTCTCTATATTTATGCACAAGCTATTAAAAGGTTCAGCAACGCAAATCATTGTCCAAATACAAACAATTAGTGATTAAAGGATGATTGAATATGATATAAAGTTAGGGGTCGGTGTTTTCTTATCACTTTCATATACATTTTGTTTTTCATAGCTACAATATATTTGACCATAAAGAGGGAAAAAGATAAACATTTATTTACTGACTTCAGCACCTACATCTGGGTTCATTTGGCTTAATCAGGAGATTATTCTTATTTAATTTTAATCATTACATAATGGCCTAATTGTGCTTTAAAACAGACCCATGTCTCCCATCTGAAGTTTCGCGAGGTCGTTGACTGGGGCGTCAGATGGGCCTATCACCGACCCGAGAAAACACCTGGAATTCACACCTTAAATCCACTCCTCCTGGCCTCCTATTGGTGGAGCTGCAGCATATATCCGTCACCCGGCATCACCCCGACGATGACAGCGGCCTGCAGCTGAGCCAAAAACATCATCACAGTCGGTGTAGCCATGCGTTTCAGCCAGGACCCCGCAGCTTTCCAGCTTTGCGCAAACAGCTCCATGTTCGACGGCGAAGATTGCGGCTCCGCAGACGCAGAGCAGATGATTGAGCTCCGCTCCCCGAGTTCGGGGCCTTCAAGCCCGCTGTCCATCAACTCGGACTCCAGCTGCACCAGTCCTGTAGCCAAGTCTGCCTCAACGGAGAAGAGGGTCAGGAGGCCCTTGAACGCCTTCATCATCTGGACCAAAGAGGAGCGCAGGCGGCTGGCGCAGCTGAATCCAGACCTGGAGAACACGGACCTGAGCAAAATACTTGGTAAGACTTTGATTGAAAGCCTGAAATGTTACTGACAAGGCCAGAAGTTGCTAAGGTTGAAATGGGCTCCAGGGAAGATTTGTGTTCCCTTCTAAAAAAAGAACTCAGTAGCAAAATCTGTTTAAATCAAAGGCCCAAACAGATAAATAAGGTTCACAGTTAAAGTTTTATTATCTGTTATCTGATTATTAACCTCACTGTGTTCCTGCAGGAAAGACCTGGAAGGCCATGTCCTTGGCTGAGAAGCGTCCCTACATGCAGGAGGCTGAGCGTCTGAGGGTCCAGCACACCATCGATTATCCCAACTACAAGTACAGACCCCGCAGGAGGAAGCAGCTGAAGAAAAGCTCCAAGCCACAGACCGCTGAGGCCGCTCTCCCCACACTCTGCAGCCCAGGCCTCACAGTGCCCTACAACCTCACATACCTGCTCCAGAACCAGCAGCAGACCTTCCCAAACACGCCTGCTTTCCCGGCTAACTTCACCCCTCTGCACAGCAGCTACCAAAACACTCCAGTGTTCCCAGACACAGCAGCAGCAGCAGAGACCTTCTCAAACAAGCCTGTGTTGTATTCAAATCCGCCTTCATACCTGTCAGAGCACCAGCTGTATTTTGGCAGTCAGCACGGGCACATGCCGTGCGGTTTCTCTGCAGGGTCACACGTGGAGCAAGGGGAGTCCAGCTTTTACGGGGGCCCGCTGAGTCCTGCTGGGCCCTCCTTGGATATTTACTTGGAACAGGTTCAGCTGGACATGCTGTACGATCTGGACCGCAGCGAGTTCGAACAGTACCTGGGGCCTCCTCCACACAGGCCCGAGTCAGTGGATCCCAGCAGCTACCATCAGCAGAGCAGCCACAGAGAGGGACGCTCACTATCATAAAACCACCACAAATGGTGTATTTATTTAAATTATTTCAGTGTATCACTTGATAATGACTGCTGAAAGTGTATATTGTGTATTTAGTTTTTGACAAGTTCATGAATGAAAAGTGTACTGTTTTCCAATGTAATTATAATGTATCAATAAATAACTCTAATTCAACTTATGTCTGGTGAGATTAATAGACTCAAACAATTGAACACCCTTATTATTTTTCTACATGCCACTAGTGAGTGTTACAATACTAGATGGTAAACTGATGCAGCAAAGCACAAAACTATAATGATTTTTGGGTCCCGACCACAAAACCACTGGATCCTACACTTCCCATAATGCAACTTGACAGCAACATTCTGTTAGATCCTCCATGCAACACACCAAAAAACACCACACATGTCTGGTATAAGTGTACAGTCTGACAGCCCCACCTAAGGCCAGCCCCTAATGACATCACCAGGGGTCATCTCAGGCTGTGGGCAAAACTGTTTGTTTGTTTTGGTTTTCTGTCAGAACATCCATATGGATGATCATTTTATCTTATTTTATATGGCATCCTAGTTAGCTTACATTTTGAACTGTCATCGGTTTATTTCTGATCTTTTAATTTTACTGGGTAAAATTCTTTTTGATAAATTCAAATTCACAGGCAAAACACTGACAGTCATTTTTCTAGAAATTCTACAGCTGTGAAAATGATCAATACATTTTGGCCCTACTTTACTATAAGTCCCCGTATTGTAATTGTTGACAAATACTGTACATTCAAATATTTTAAATGTTCTTATAGCTGTGTACAAGTAGTGTCTCATAGACCAGTGATTAAATGTTTGTATACTACTTATAAATGCTAAATAGGGGGACTTAAAGTACAGTGTTAGACCACATGATGTGCACTTGATTATTGTTTGGTACAAGGCGTTAGTTCATTTTTCTCAATACGGAAGAAGAAAGGATCACCCTTCATGGCTTAAATTGGTGGAGTTCCTCTTTAAGCATTCCTGCACATGACTGTAAATATCTGTTACATTTAGCAATGTTGGCCCTTTGGCAGAAGCCAAACTGTTGACACACTGTTTTATCTCCATCCACACGTCTTTCTTAGCTCACAGAGGGAAATAGGGCGTCAGGGGCATAAACTTCCCAACTTCCTGTTTCATTTTAAAACATTTCACAAAGGCTCTAAAAATATGCCCAAAAATCGACATATCTCCGAACTCATTCGGCTTTGGCTGCCAAATGTTTACCCATTTAGGAAAATGTTTACTTCCATGTCCCATATTTTCTGTGTCAGAGCCTCAAGGTTGGTTGAAATCTGTTCTGGACAGATGCAAGACTGGGACGCTCCAAAATGTCAGGTGCTGCAAGGACTAAACTTTTTCTTCCTTTTTTACATTTTATTTTAGTTAAAATACCAATCATTAGTTTTTTTTTTTAATTATGAGCCTCTAACAAAAAAACCACACTACAAAATCTGCACAGACTTGTGGAGAAATAAACATTTCATTTTATAGATGAGAGCAATGTCTAAAACCCAATAAATATACATCTTTACATATAATATGAATAGAGTTTCATATAGTATGCAGTGCTATCTTTGTAGAACTAGATCAGTTTCAATGTCTAACTTCATAGCTAGCTTTTTAAAAAGTCTTTTTCTTAGGTATCACCCTGGATTCATCTCATCAATGACTGCATTTTTGTTGAAAACTAAAAAAAATGCCCAAAATGAGACAGATATATTAATTTCAGCGAATGTATTGGGTAATTAATTACATTAGTTTTATCGTACTGACTACAATTCATCATCAGAAAACGTTTTTAAAAAATATTATAAAGTCATCAGAGTATGTATTTACATCATTATGTCCAGTCAACCCTCTGAAAAGACAACGATTCAAAAATATATTTACATATGAGAACTCCACTGTAAACATATCACAAGAATGAATTTTCTGCTGTTAACTACTGAAAATAAAAATGGCTCTTAAAGCTGCAGCACACACTTCAAACACTTCACTCGAGTTCCAGAAATGGCTCTGTCCGGTTAAGCACAGCTAATTATACAACCAGATATCACAACTTAAAATGTGCTCCACCAAACTGCACAGACAAGACAGCTTGTGTCCTTTTGAAATGAGTCTGCAGAGGGAAATGTTGTGAGTCAGTGATGGAAAGCAGATCTTAAAGTGCTGGAAGGAAATGAATGGGCACAGTGACTGAGGGAAGGATGACCTTGCTTTGGAGGAGAGAGCAGAAGAGCTGATTAGGAAAGTGAAGACCTGCTGCAACCCACCGCCACCTGAATGAGCGGAAGAAATCTGACGTCAGTTCAACTCCCAAGACAATATTACAAAACACACTGCAATGTGAAATGCAGAATGTCCTGCAAAATATTTGGTGCAAAAGAGGTAGAATAATATGACAATAACATCTACTCTGTCTTTATTTTCCTTGTTTTATTAACTTGAACCCAAAGCCTTTAAGTTCAACTTGTTTTTCTCAAACTTTGGCCCCTCAGCAACAATTAATGAGCAGCCACAGGAACTTCCTGAAGGAAAAACAACTGGATGATATCAGTGTTTCAGGTGAAAATATCATCAACAATAAACAGCGGTGGAAATGGCAGCTGAACAAGTCAGATATGTTTTGTTACAGTTATGAAACTCATAATTTTTCAAATATTTACAAGGCTATGTTTTTAACAGGCTTCTGGTTTATTAAATGATATAAAACAACTGAAACTGAAACTGGAACTATAACGGGCAAAATGATTCCCTTCTTTAAATGTAAACTTGCATTATGTTGTGATTTAATTAAGTTGAAAAACATGAGATATGCAACAATCTCCTCCTTTAACAGCTTTTAATTAGCATTCCCCGAAGCTACATTTTACATTTGTTATCGACAAACAAATCTACATATTCTCAGATTGTTTCTCAGTTATTTTAAGGGCAATGACTGCAAAAAAAATAGAATAAATGGAGTTCTTGATTATCTATGAAACAGTTATGTCATCTCCATATTGAGTTATTTTGGTACTCCAAAAATTGATGCTCATGTTAGAAATCTGCTGGAAAGCTCACATACAAATATTTGATCTTATCACCGGTGAAGAATGTGAGGAATCTCAACATGTCAAACATGCAAGAAACATTCCTCAACCATAAAATACTTTCCTCGTTAGAGATTAAATATATAAATATGCCCAGCTCTGTATGCCCAATATTGACTCGAGTTTATATCAAACCTAAAAATAGATTCCCGTTTACTAACCTGTAGCATTCTTGAGATTTCGTGAGCACATAATGAGGTTTGTCTTGTCTTACCTCCCACATGAAGGTCATCAATAGTTTCCTGTCCTGAGTGCAGTTTGGGTAAATTCAAGGCTGCTGTCTGCAGATAATGCTCATCCGAGTATTATCCTGCAGGGACGTCTGCTCTGTCTGGAGTTGAGGAGGAAGCTCAAACAGGAAGAGGCCTGAAGTGACATACCCGACAGTTTCTCATCCTAAAGAAATTATAAAAAGGAGAAGGTTTCATTAATCCTCTCTAAAAGTGGAAAATAATAATTCCAATGGGCTCAGATTCATGAGAACAGGAATTTCTGGTTGAATTAAATGTGTCTGTCTGATCACTTAATTATGAGTGAGTCTAATCAGGTACTAATTAGGCCTATCAGATTACTATAACCTCATCAGACCAGTCCTGCATTGGAGCTTCAGTAGCTTTTCACCTGTATGTCTCACAGGTTGCATCTTCAACAGTTGTGTCACTTCAGATAATATCAAGACACTGCTTTTAATGCAGTCTGTAGCCTAAGGACAATACAGTACCAAAAGTCTTTATTGTCCACCATAGTGGAAATCTGTCTTTGACTGCAGTATACAGAATGAAACATTACAAATGACAACACGAAAAACAAAGAGTTACTGGTTTGTAAATCATACAGTGCTTTCCACCAAAAGCAGCAGCTAACACAAGTGTGAGCCAGCAAAAGTAAAATAGTTATGTAACACATTTAAAATTCCAGTTGCATTCTGAATGAAACACTTTTTGTAAGTATTATTTCCTGCCAGAGGTGTCACAAAACCTTTAAAGTGTCAGTTCACCTAAGTATCTAACATATTTTTTCACTTATCTCCAGGAGTGGCTGGTTATATTTGGTTTTATTTGCCCAAGTTTTGAGATGTCAGTCTTTGAGATTTCTGTGTCCAGCCCATCACAGCTTTGATTTGTGGGCCTCAAAGCATAAAAAAGGACATTTAGACACTAATATCTCTTTCCAGAAACCAAGTCCTGGTTATATTGAATAATCCACATGTATTTCTCTGAACAGTTTGCATTGGAACTAATTTCTACAAAAGGAAATGTCTACATGAAAAATGTTTACCGCAAAATCTGGAAAGACACTACCAGTGGTGATAGAAGTCTCAGGTCTATTGATCTTAATGTTTTGTAATCATAACTATATACAGCTGGTTTGTTTAATGTACCCTATAATATGCAGCATAAAAAAGCCCTTGCACTACCACAAAATACTGTACTTTGAACTATTAGACCAGTAGGGGCCACAAAATCTATGCAAAGACTGCTGTAAAAATTATGCTAAACAACAAGCAAGTCTGGTTTGTATAATCATGCCATTGCACAAATAATATGCGTTATTTCCATTCAGCTGTCAATTATAAGCCAAACTTGAGTGCAATAATCGCATGATGAAGTGTGGTCATGCTAAACACAGCACATGGTGCTCTGATGAAGAATTTTCTGCCTCATCTTTATCTAAGGCAGCCATCGTTTGGTCACTGACAGGTTCAAACATGACTGACTTTGGAGTAGTTGGCTGTGATTGGTTTTCTCCTGTAATGAACACAGTATATGATCTATCACATTTTCAAAATAAAAGAAAATTCATTCCTCTGACTAAAAGCTCTGGTTCAAAGCAAGAGTATTTCATTCTTTCATTGCTGATGTGGCTTTCGGTTTGGTTCCTTGAGCAA